GCATTTTTTTCAGCAGTTAGTGTAGTTTTTAGCAGGTTTATAATTGTTAAAGTGGATGTTTATCTCAACAGTAATTGTAGTCCCACTGGTATTGAAAGGTGTTCGAGTTGTTGTGCTATGATGACGTTGCCGAAGACGCCAAAGCTGTTTTCAGTTCTTTAGGAGTGTTCACCTTATCAGCGGTTTTTTCACAGCTAAATGGATGCTTGAGTTGAAAATTAACCTGTGGTCATTATTGAAGTAGTTAAAAGGTTTGAATTATGTTTAAATAATAGACTCCAAAAAATACGTAATACAAGTTTACCAAAAAAACTTTTATAATTTTATAAAACAAATACTAATCTTAAAGATTACAATAATGAGAGAAAGAACAGAGAGTCAGACATACAAACAAACGAAAAAACAAACAAATATACACACAAATATAAGAACAAACAGTTAAACAAACAAACATACATACAAACAAACATACAAACAAACATACAAACAAACAAACAATCACATACGTAACCTCCAAACCTCCAATATCAAAAATTAACAAACGAAATGAATGCTTTATAGGATAACTTATATGGTAACACTCTTAATTCCTCTTTTGAATGAATTACACACACACACATACATACATACATACATACATACATACATACATACATACATACATACATACATACATACATACATACATACATACATACATACATACATACATACATATATACATACATACATACATACATACATACATACATACATACATACATACATACATACATACATACATATATACATACATACATACATACATACATACATACATACATACATACATACATACATACATACATACATACATACATACATACATACATACATACATACATACATACATTCATAGAAATATGTATAAAATTTTAATACATCCAGCCTGTGATTGAAAATATGACAGAATTAGTACTAATGATGATAATAATAATAAATAAATAAATAATTATTATTATTTTCTTTTTCTTATTGTTATTATTGTGGTTATTATAATTGTAATAATATATATATTTATATTTATATATATATATTTATATAATAAAGGAAACTGCCTTCTATTGTCATTTATGAGTGAAAAATGACTATAGCTCTTACCATAAAGTCAATAATAATAATTAATAATAATAATAATAATAAGACATCATCATTATCATAATCTTCATCATCATTTTCCTCTTCTTCATCATCATCGTTATTGACAATATCATCACCAGTAACATCAACAACAACAACAACAACATCGACACCATTATCTTCTTCTTCTTCTTCTTCTTCTTCTTCTTCTTCTTCTTCTTCTTCTTCTTCTTCTTCTTCTTCTTCTTCTTCTTCTTTTTCTTCTTTTTCATCATCATCATCTTCTTCTTTTTCACCATCATCATCATATACAACAACAACAACAACAACAACAAAACAACAGCATAATCGTCATCATCAACAACAACAACAACAATAATAAAAATAATCGTAATCTTTGAAAGATCGTAATCAGCCGAACTACCATCAAATTGTTAGCTGTGCTGCTCATTATATTTCATTGTTTTACTAACCAGAACTAATAGCAACAACAACAACAACATCAGTAATAACAACAACATCAACAACAACAACAACATCAACAACAACAAAAACATCAACAACAACACATAAGCAGCAACAATACTAACAACAACAACAACAACAAAAACAACTATAATAATAATAATAACTACAATAATAATATGTCTCGATTCGTTGGACGAAGCTATTTAGTTTGAACAGTACATACGCAAAAGATTTAAAATAATTGACAGCATTAAT